CTACAACCTATATCCACCATACAACTGATTGTTCAGATATGAGATTTTGTGCCATAACTTCTTCATTTATGCAGCTAGGAACATCAAACCGTTTCCACTCATTGTTAACAGAATACTTACAGTGAAAATAACGAAGATCGGGTCACTTTTACATATAGCTCCCATACAACTGATTGTTCAGATATGCGATTTTTTGTCATAACTACTCCATCTATGCAGCTAGAAACATGAAATTTCGCACTATTTTCACTCATTATAAACAGAAAGTTTACAGTAAAATTAATAAAGATCGGGTCTCTATAACCTGTTTATTGCCCCCATACAACTGATTGTTCAGATATGGGGTTTTACTGTAAAACTCCTTTATTTGGACAGCTAAAACCGATAAATTTCGTAAGCTATTTTTTAAATAATAATACAAAGTCTACTGAGAAAATCGTCAAAATCTATGCTGTATAATCTTAATCTCTTGTACCACTGATTGTTCAGATACCAGTTTTTGCGATATATGTATCTCCTTTATGTAGGAAGCTAAACCCATTAAATTGTGTTACCGGTTTACGTACCGATCACCTCTGATTGTTTAGCTAGAATTTTGTATATATGTATCTCCTCTATCCTTGTCTGCTGTGAATATATAAATTTTTTCAAATGCAGTAATCTGTTAACGTAAAATTTTCAGATGCTAATGAAAGGCATAGCCGAAGACAGCGCTGCTCTTACTTGTTTTGGTTTACATTTCACTGAATTTTTTAAATAAATTTTTTAATCATATCCTTGAAATTTTTAAATTCTTTTTTAAAAAAATCATGACGTCAGAGAAATACGCATTTATATGAAGTTAATGAGGTAGACTTTTATAAAAAATTTAAACTTTGAATAAACAAAAGGAATATAGACAAAACTGGAAGAATTAAGGCGCTGCTTTACTGCCACTACTATTATGAACTTCTTTCAACCAGGAAATACATTTTTTGACTTTGTTTTTTGCATCGAGCTTTTTTCGACATACCTTAAATTACTTTATCAGATATGTACGCGCTAAAGTATTATTAAATGCATATAATTTTAATTAATGTCTTTCGTTTCGTTACTTATGAAATAATTTTCACTTTAAATAAAAAAGTATGTTCCACACCGATTTACTTATTATTTTTCATATGGTTAAAAAAAATAAATATCTAAATCCCGGGATCCCGGGATTGATCCAACGACATCCCGAAAATCCCGGGATCTTAAACATCGAAAAAATTAACATCCCTAGTCAGTATACCTTAGGTCTCTGCGGTCATTTTATTGTTGGCCGTAGCGTTATGTTTATGTAAGTACATTATGTACAAATATATTAATGTACACACATACATATGTATATTACGGCGCCGGGCAAAGAAAATTATAAAATAATTCCGCTCAAAAATGCGCAGAAAATGGAACATAAGTACATACATATGTATATACAGTAAATATCAAAATAAATTTTGGTCAAATCTACATACACTTCGCGACACTCGATTACCCTCACTTACATTTTCTGAATATTTTCCATTGTAGATGGGTTTCGAAAAAATGTCGTACGCGGCAAGGCAGAGATTATATGTAAGCATATTTTTTAGTGCCAGTGTTAAAAAAATCAATAACGGTAAACAATAAAAGCCGCTTGTATGGTGTTTTTCGACTCGCAAGTGCGACACATGATTACCCTCACTTACTACTATAACTAAAATAAAGGATAAACAACAAAGTTTTTGCTAATTTTTATTATTAATATTTAGTTGGACCTCCATCCATTCTTATAAGTTCAACAAGCCTGTTTGGCAATGAATTGTATAAATTTTGAATATAATTAATTGGTATTGAAATGAAGGCAGTCTCTATTGCATCGATAAGTGCTGATCTACAGTGGTACTGTGTCCCTTCGGCATAAATCTTTCGCGACAACCATTCCCACACATTCTCAATGATGTTCAAGTCTGGGGACAACGCTGGCCATTCAAGAACATGGATATTTTTTTCACTAAACCATTGTTACACTTCTCGCTATGTGAATGGCAGCGATATCCTGCTTGGTTGTTGAACATTTCATCGAAGTTAATCACTTCCGTTTCCAACACCTCGATGTAATTATTTGCATTTTGTCGACCCTCCAGAACTCTTAAATTTATTGCCCCATAATATGAAATTGTTGCCCATACCATCACCGAACCAACTGCACTGTGTCGTCTGGACAAAAACCTCTCCGATTTTCTCAAATCGTGAAAATAGTGTTGGAAACCATCCGGACCGTCCAAATTGATTTCTTTTTCGTCCGAAAAAATAACGGTTTTCCATTCATCGCGCCAGTGTACGTAGGTGCGAGCATACTCTAAGCGTGCATGTCGGTGGCGTTGAAGCAAGCATGGTTTCTTTTGCAATTTCTTGCGTCTTAGATGAGGGCACTGCTTTATTATTTGTTGAATGGTCCGCACACTAGCCGTAACTCCTACATTTGCACCGATTTGTCTGGCAGTCGCTGCAGAATTCGACGATTCTCGCAAAATTGCTCGTTGTTCTTTCGTAGCTTTTACAGTGCGTCCTTTTCGGTTTTTGCCATAGTTTTCGATCAAGAATGATAGAATACAAGATTGCGCCGATCAGAGAGGATTTTTGAGAATAACTTTTGTGTGACGTCACACTGGTGCAATTGCGAGAGAGAGAAATGCCAAAACGTGAGCAAGAATGGAAGAAGAAAAAATGTTGCAAGGAAAACGTAAACAAGTTGCACAAGTGTGACGTCATGCAAATAACGATTCTGTAAAATTCGTTAAGAGAGGAATAGCGGTCCGAGATCGGCGCAACCTTTGTAATCTCTCATTCTTGATCGAAAACTATGGCAAAAACCGAAAAGGACGCACTGTAAAAGCTACGAGAGAACAACGAGCAATTTTGCGAGAATCGTCGAATTCTGCAGCGACTGTCAGACAAATCGGTGTAAATGTAGGAGTTACGGCTAGTGTGCGGACCATTCAACAAATAATAAAGCAGTGCCCTCATCTAAGACGCAAGAAATTGCAAAAGAAACCATGCTTGCTTCAACGCCACCGACATGCGCGCAAAAGGTTATTAATCACCCATAGATCGCGGGCAATTTTACGTGCAATTGCACGGTTGGACAGGTTGCTTTCCTTTAGGCCAAAGATTTTTCCTCTCTCGATCTCCGTTAAGGTTTTTCCGCGTCCCATTTTTAACACTAGGTATTGAAAAACCTGCTTAATTTGATATTACTCACTTTATTATACCGTATGACCACAATGCAAAAATTATCTTACATTGTTTTCAAAGGCTACTGAGAAACAACTGAAGTGAAGGTAAACAAGTGTCGCGCTTGCAGGTTCGTAAAATAGGAGAAAAGAGTTATTTACCGTTGACCTGAGCAGATATTTAGAATATGGCCACAGAAAAATTATGGTACGTTAGTTGCCATTTACGCGTATAAGATTTTTTTATGCATGCCACAAAAAAAAAATAATCGTGAAAATTCAAGCGAGGATTATTAAGTGTAGTTAAGTGCATATGCATACATAGTAATAATAATTTGCGCTTACGCTTTACTAAGTGTTTGGCCGAGCTTATCTTCCAATTTGTGGTGTGTCTTGACGTTGCTACACAAGTGAAGGGAGCTAGTTTTCCGCCGCCTCCGAATAGCAAATGGATTTTGTGAGAAGCTTTTTCATGGTAGAAATACAAACGGAGGTTTGCCATTGCCGCTGTTAAAGAAAAAACTTTTTGTCGGACTAGGGATCGGACCCAGGTCCTGCCGCCGTTCCCCTTGCGCTTAAATCGATAATTGCGTGTAATTGAACGCATCTGTAAATCGTTAATCGTCATAAACTAACGGAACCACTTTTTATCTTTGGTTGATGAAGTTTAATGAATGACACATGCGTTTAGATACCGATAAAGGCTCATTGTTGCACAAAAGGCATGAAATGACTTATACTAAGTTCAAACAGAAATAATTTCAACTCGATTTACATTTTAATTGAGCTACCCTTATTTGGTGTCCACACATATTTATGAAAAAGGGTCATATAGTTACAATAGGGTTAAAAATAAAAATTTAACATTCCCAGCAAACATAGTCTCTAATGTAGTTCTCGAATCGAAAATCAGGTTAGAGACCTATGTTAGAATTCGATTAGAGAATGATTAGAAAAACACTAGACATTCGAAACCAATTAGAATTCAACGTTAGAACTCGATTAGATATCTAACCTTTTCTCGACATCGAGAACCAATTCCCCTTTTTGTAGAGAATACTATAATTATCGACAGTTTCTCTAATCGTCTTCTAACAGTCTACCTTTGAGAAACATATTTCATTTTGTATCGTTTTCCAATCGTTTTCTAAGCTTAATGTTTGTTGGGATTATGAAACGGGGTAATTTGGTTTGCGTGGACGTTTTGACTCGATCAAGTCCATTAGCGCTTTAATAGAGTGAAGCGGGCTCATTGCTCGATTAGGCGGCTGCTTGTAACCCCTATTAGACCACTTTAAAAATTATATGCCTATAATGCTCAGCTTATTGTTAGTTGTAACGCAAATGGCCAGGTGCTCCGCTATATTTTAGGGGATTTAGTACACGCAGCTGAATTATCTAATTATGATGGAGATCACCCATTATATTTGATTACATTTTGAATTTCTCATCGTCAAAATTTCACCATCCAGCATCCGCTATTGTCACCAGGTTTGTTTTGAACGAGAAAAAGAAATATGTGAACTCACAATTATTCCGAAATGATTGAAGAGATCAAAGGACTGCTACTTATAACGTGACCAGATTTTTTTACAATCCAGGAGGACAAATTCTCAACATGGAAAACACAAAAACTTAACGGTTCAAAAGTTATAACTGAAATTAAGAGCTTTCATGCACAAAAAAATTTTAAATATATGCATATAATATGCACTCAAAATTCAAAAATTTGCGCTATAAACAAGTAAAATATGCAATTAAAAATATGTTTCCAATAAATTTATTGCCGGTACAAAAATAACATGTTCATGTAAAATAATGATTGAAATGGTTATAGAGGACTTCTAACTACACCGAAATGTTTTTAAACTGATAAAAAGTATATAATAGCGCCCCCTAAAACCATTTTAACCGTTATTTTACATAAAAAAATGATAAGCTTAAGGTTTATCGACGATTAACGATTGTGAATCCCCTAAATAAGTATTTATGTATAAAATTAGTTTATAATTAAGCAAACAGTTACGATCTTGTGTACATAGAAATATTGACAGTTTAATAGTGGTTCAGATGAATGGTTGCATGTTTTAAGTGGATTGTCACCCTGGTGAGGAGCAATTAGAAAGTTTGCCTTTTTGATTCCATAACTCGTGCAACCTACTTCCATTTGGCGGCTGTAATGAATTCCAATACGTCATACAAAGATAGGAAGCTGCACTCTGAAACATTCTGCAGGAATGGCTTGCCGAGTGTGTTTAAGGGCCTCACACTCGCACAGAAAGTGTTCGGACTGTCGCTTTTGAGCCAGGGTCATCGCAACTGCGACAGAACCTGTGGAAGGGAAATCCAATAATTTCAACATGTACTCCAAGGGGCCAGTGCACTGTGCATACTGCAGTAAGTTTGTAGATATCTTCCTTGCTTCCAAAAGAGCTTTGGTTTTAAGTGGGTCGCAGGACACCCTGGTAAACCTCTACGATTTTGTACGGTTCGACCTCTACTTGGCCTTGGGGTGATAACTTTCGCACCTTATTAGTTGGTCCACTGCCTCGTTTCCTGAAATGTCCCTATGTCCCGGGACCGACATAATTTTGTATTGATCAGAGATACAGGCCAGCTCTCTCGTATAGAACTCCACTAGTTGAGATCCAACACAGGTAGAAGAGAGTGCACTAAAGGCTATCCGAGAAGATATTTAGATGAATATGTGAAACAATTTTAAGTAATTATTTTGTCAAGAGCTTTAGCACTAAATTTAAAAAGTTGCAAATCAAAAAATAAAACAATATGTAAAAGCCACTGCTGTGGTTGTAATAAATACTAAAATATACGCATTAAATATGCAAAACAGATATTTTTTGCAAAATATGCAAAACCATGCAGTTACTGCGAAATATGCAAAAATATGCACTAACGATTGAGTGTCATTTTAAAGGAAATTATATGATTCGTAAAGATAACTTACCCATTTCCATTTAAAGATGCCCAATAAAAACATGCACTTGCACGAGATTTCGAGCTCTAGTTATAACATTTTTAGTTAAAACAATCTTTTTTACATGGCAAATTACAAATGCCCACCGATACCTTTAAAAATTGAAATAAAAATTTTTCAAAACGGGAAAATTTCCTTCGCAGTAAATCGGTAATTTTAAGGCCACAAATTCGCTAGGTTAGTTAATTTGAATGACCCTTATATATACATAACTATACAAGAATTACTCATTTAAAGTAATAAGAACAACCCTGTAGGGATAACACGAACTAGTGAACCAGATTTCTAGTTCAGTACGAGTTCTTTATTGCCAAAAACGAAGCAGTCCGATAGTAACTAATTCCGCACCAGTCCAAAAGCAGTGAAATGTGGTACTTTCACTAAACTATTCTATTTTAAATTTTAAAAGCAGGGAAGGTAATCATTATGAGTAAAATAATTTAAACAGCATTTAATCATTATTTTATGTATTATTATTGAGTTTTATTTTTTCGCTCAAACGGAAATAATTATTATTTGATTTTTATTTTTGGGATTACAAATAATGATTATTTTATGATTTTTATTTTTCGCGCAGAGATTATCATTAATTTTCAGTTTTATTTTTCCACTTAAAAATAATGATAATTTATAAAACTGAAAAGGCCATAAAGACGCAGCCTACTGAAATTTTTACCTGAAAAGTTTGGGTCTTATTCCTTTTATAAGGGTGCCTCTCAAAAGGATATGTCGGTTATCACGCTGGTATAGTTTTTGAAATGATTAATAATCATTATACTTAGTGATTCCATAAACAAAGGCCAAGATCCTGAAGGACAATTGAGAAAGGCAATGCAGTTGCAGAAAAAGAGGCATTTAAAAAAAATTGTCAAAATAATTACCACTTTCTCACTAAATTTATTTAAAAATGCAAGCCACCAGTGCTACCTTTTTTTTTTAAGAAAAGACAAAATAAGTTTTTTTATGCAATCCACCACAGTTACGTTAATACAGTCAGTCAATAAAGTTTAGGTACAACGAATTTTTTACAATACGGGCAACTATTATTTTAATATTTTAGTTTTCGGTAATTTTTTATAAAAATATGGTCAATTCTACAACAAAATCCCCAAAAATCAGAGTCCCAAACCTTGTGCAAAATTTAAGAAAATTCTGCAAAATTTCATTAAAATAATTCACTTTCTATTTACGCTCTCTAGAAAAAGTTTTTTAGTCCATTCAATTTTAGTATAATGAAGTGCAAGTGTGAGGAAGCTAGGACTTACCAAACAAAAAAAAACAAAAAAATGCTAAATATCAATGGTAAGTCCTAGCTACCTCAAACTTGCACTTTGTTATACTAAAATTGAATGGGCTAATAACTGAGTACTTAACCTTTTTCTAAAGAGTGTAAATTGCAATACTTGGATGGAAATTCGCAAACTCTGATTTTTAGGGTTTTTGGTGTAGAATTAACCATATTTTTTATAAAAAATTAGGGAAAATAAATTATTTAAAAAATAGTTGTCGGTATTGTAAAAACTTCACTGTACCTAAACTTTATTGACTGACTGTATATCTTATTAAAGTTAAGTACGACAAAAACTTTGGAACTTCATATACATATAAGCTTAAAAAGAACTGAATTTATTTAAAAATCAATATGCTTAAATTTAGACAAGTAAGACAAAGTGAACTAATATTTTTACTTTTAAGCAGAACGCACTTTTTTTTTACTTACTACTTAAGTTTAATACTACTACTACTACTAATGTGGTTTATAAATTTTTAATAAATGCGTTTAAACATTTGTGATTGTATTGTCCTTCCTTCAACCGATCGTATTTAATTTAGAAGGGAAATGTTTCGACAAGCCTGATTAGAAATGTAGATCTAAGGTGACGAATTTATAACAGGTTGGGAAGTATAAAAAATGGATGCATATCGAACTAGATCTCATTTGTCGAATTAGGAACTGGTTTGGAACTAAAGAAAAGGGGATGCAGAACGAACTAGATCTCATCTGTCGAATTTAGAACTGGTTCGGAACTAGAGCCAAAGGGATGCAACGGGGGACAATTGACACTTCCTAGGACATCGCAATGTTAAATTCGCCAGTCGCTAGCATGCAAAAGGGAATTAACGCGTACTAGTCATGGTTCCAAACGCACTAGAACCGAACCAGTTCCGCACTAGTTCGTTTCCCTACAGGGAAGTGGCGAAATTTCCCGGAAAGCAAAACTACTGCAAAACGGATGCAGAGCTGGACGGTTAAAACTCATATGTTGCTAGTTGCGCTGTCATCAATGTTACCCTTCGTTGTCAAAGCTTGCAAAAGATGCTCAAATGTACTTTACTATATTTTTTCGATTTCCCTAAAACCGAGACCCCTAACTAATAGCAAACTGTTTTCGTTTATTTAATATGTAATTATCTAGTTTATGGGGCAACTGCTAAAATATTTCCAAAAAAGTCGTTATTGATAACATTATCTAATGTTATTTTCATACATATATACGTAGGTATAAAATTGAATGCAAAATATAACCATAAAATTTAGTTAAGCTACACTTAACAGCATAAGTCTGCGTACACCATTTCTTTTTTAAATATTTACAATATATTGACAGCTAAAATTAAAAAAAAAAAAACAAGTAAGAAAGTCTAAGTTCGGGTGGAACCGAACATTAAATACCCGGCGCAAGTATTAAATATGTTATTTCACCAATGTATCAATTTTGAGTAAATTAGCGTCCTTAAATTTCGAAATATTGCAGTTTCAAGCATTTCTGAAATTTACCGTCATATAAAAGGCGGCCGTAATTTTAGTCCGATTTCAATAATTTTCAACGTTTTGCTTTTATGTGGCAAGCACAATAAAGTACAGTGCCAAATTTGGAAGAAATTGGTGCAGCGGTTACCAAGTTATACACATGTAACCATAAGTGGGCGTGGCTACGCCCATTTTCCAATAATTTATAATATTATTATTTTTCGTCTTAAAGTTATTGTAAATATCAATTTTGAGTGAATTATCTTCAGTAGTTACTAAAATATCGCAGTCTTCGTATTTCTGGAAATTACCGTTATATGGGAAGTGGGCGTGGTTACAGCCCGATTTCGCCCATTTTCAATACCAACCTACCTTGGATTAACGGAAATCTACATACCAAATTTCGTTGAGATATCTCAATTTTTGCTCGAGTTATCGTGTACACGGACGGACGGACAGACGGACGGACAGACAGACATGGCTTAATCGACTTCTCTGTTCATTCTGAGCATTTATGTATACATTTGTCTATATCTATCTCGATTCGTTATGTGACCAAAATTAATATACCCTTGTGCACAAGTGCGCCCGGGTATAAAAAATGATACTTTAAATATAAACCGTGTTTTCAAACTTTATACAAAACAAAAAAACATTTAACGATTTTTCATCAAATTTTTCGACCTCTTAATCAGATAAAATAAATTAACAAAAGTGGTAAACAATCTCACTTTGAAATGGGGGTGCTATTGATATGACCGATACTGTACCTACGTAAATATATCTCTGAGCACCCGAAATGTGTAGTTAAGCAGAGATTTTTTTTTTAATTTCCAATGTTTTGCATTTCAAATATTTTTGGTTTAGTTCTTATTTAAGTATGTCTCATTTTCCATAAACCATTTAAATTCGAATTCCTAACTGTGCTGAAATCTTGATAGAACTTTAAAACTGTCTTCAAATTTCAAACTTTTTAATCAGAGTTTTTTTCTATAAATATTTCGAGTATTCAGTTTTGTAGCCCATCAAATTTTAGTGTAGTAAAGTGTAACATTGCATCTTAAACAAAAATATTTAAATAGGAGAATACCTACAAGAGCGTCTGTAAAAAGAATTATGAAGAATCAGCGCGATTAATTATACTAAAATTTAATGGGCTATAGAACTGCATACTTATAACTTTGATTTGAAATAGTGATGTTATTATAATAGTTTCTAGAATTCTACTAAATTTCCAACACAGGTAGGGCCGTTTTCTGAAAACCTTTAACTTTAACGCTCACTTCATATTTAAAGGTTGGATTAAAAATAAAGCTATGTCTAAAGTTAAGCATTTCTATTATCGGTTTTTGACGTATGCATGTTGCTTGGTTGTAAACCAATTAAAAACCGACAATAAAATGATTTACTTTAGACACAATTATAAATTTTAATGCAAACTTTAAATATAAAGTGAGCTTTCAAGTTACAGGTTACTTGAGAAAACGAAACGAATTCTGAAATAGGGCATTCTTGAAAAGTTGTTTGAGATAGGGCGTTTTCGAGATTTGTCGATCTTCCACTCAGCAGTCGATATATTCTTATTAGATGCCGGAGAGTCTATGTATTACATTTAAATATATTTTAATACAATTAAAGCTGAATTATCACAAATAAGCATTCAATGTGTCACCGTTTTTCTTATTTTTTCACCCGACTTAGTGTAGAATTTTAATTATAAGTATCACAGAAATACCTCTTACACGTAGCAAATATAAATTATTTTTAAGAATAACGGTTTTAGAAAATGATGGAATAACTGACACTTTATGTTCCTAATTTTAAAGCGCAGTTTGCTTCAAAAAGTATATTAGTACAAAACAAATAGCTCTTTAAACATAAAATGAAGTATTTTTCATTTACAAAATTGTATGCGTGCTAATTTAATTACAG